GTGAAAATTCAAACGGAGGTTTTTAGCTCAGAATAAGTCATAGGAAATATATGCACGGGTTCATAATACATAATAATTGTATTTATTTCATGATAATGTTTCATAAATTAACCTATAATGGAAAATAATATGCCGTGTGGAAGTTTAAATCGTTTTCAGAGGTTCAAATTAATCTTTTAACAAAAAAAACTACCAGAAAAATTCAAAAAATATTCTAAAACCAAAAATTTTCCCTATTTGAAAAACTATTCTTGAATTTTTTATAGCGATAGTAAGAAAGACGATCTTCCCACCTTTTCGAATGACGCCCATATCATAAAAATATCTTTCAGAGTTCAAAAGTTATAATCTATCTAAAATATATAAGAGGTTTGGCAACCCTGGTACTGGTATGACGTCAGCGCCATCTATTTATGGGTATGATTCAAATATGCAAATGGAAAAATTGAATTTTGTTTTTGCTATAACTTTTGAACTATTAAAGGTATTTTCATGATATGACTGCCATAGAAAGATAGAAAAGCGATCGTTCTTACAAAGCAAACAAATTTATAAAAAAATATTTTTGAAAAGACAAAATAGTTAATTTTCAAAATATTTTTCAAATTTCTCATGTTATTATTGGTTGCTTAAAATAATAATGTTGATTAAATGACAGATTGTTTTTCTAAAATATATTTTATACTCCGAAAGTGGTGGTAAAAAGAAATCAGCTTTAAACATTTTCATTGCCGAATTTGAATGAAGCCAATTAATAGATGGCGCTGACGATGGACCATTGCTAAGGTTGATATGATGAAAAAACTCACAACTATTTTAGATTCTCATAACTCGGGAACGCCTAGGGATATTTTGAAAATTCAAATGGGGTGGTTAGCTCAGAATAATAAGGTAATTTACGTAAACATTGTATTTATTACATGATTGTGTTTATTTGCTCAAGACTTCTGAATAAATGAACCCATAATCGAAAGGAATATGTCTAACGTTTAAACTGTTTTTTACGCCTAAAAATTAAAAAAAATTAAACAAAAAATAAAAAAAAAGATTTTGATTAGAGGGAATAGAAATAGGTCATATCCGAACTAAATTGATCAGTTCCAATGGAGATATATCAGAGTCAATAGATACAGTTTAGGATTGACAAAGCAAACACAGTCTGTATGTATCTAGAATCATGCCAATCAATAGATGACGCTGGTGACTAGAAAAAAATTCACATATATTTAAAATTGTTAATAAAATTCGAACGCCTCGGTATATTGTGAAAATTCAAACGGGTCAGAATATTCTCTTTAGTTTTGGGATATACGAAGTATATACAGTTTATGATTACCAAAGTAATTTCTATCGTAATTGAACGGATTTTCCATCTTATCTAAATGGAATTGTGTCGCTTTAACTGCAAATTGGAAATTGATTTGGACTTTTGGAAACTAAATTTGATTTTTTGTAATAAATAATTTCAATATATAATTTTTTTTTAATATAAATACATACATTTAGGCGCATTTAAGATTTGTTCTCAACTTTAATAAAATATTTGGACGTATAAAGGCGCGTTTAGACTATGCTTTCTAAATCGACTCGATTTGTAATAAATATTCCATTGTGGAGAGCCTGCAGTTACAAGTTCAAATGGTAGTAGCTTCGGCTACGAAAACGTGCAGAGTTTAGTCTGTGGGGGACCATTCCCGGACTAGCAGGCTTGTGGAATAATTGTTTATGCATGGTGGCTACCAATATTGTGATTGGTGGCCACGTATACATGCACATTGTAGAGAGCCTGCATGTTTTCTAATGGTATAGCTTTGGCTATGAAGCTGGGCAGAGGCTATAGTTTTCATAATGTTTGTTACTGGTAATAGCTTTGGCTATGAACCTGCCGAAGGTTTTCGGGTGTCAGGGCCCCTAGGTCTGCGGAGCTATAGCCTGGCAGTTGGTGTTGGCCCTTCGGGGAGCATCGTGCTGGATGTGGTTTATACCCAAATTTTGGCTCGGTGTGGAGTTGCATTACAAATAGAAAGGCAGGAGTTTTAATGGGCTCCGCTCCTCATCCAATGAGGTGTTCGAGTCCAAATACGTGTGATCCATTTTAACTGCATTTCGGTGTGGGGGCGTTGGTTGACGCTTTGTATTAACTGGTGTTTACAGCACCGTGGGGTAAGACCGCAAGGTAGGTACCCACGTACTCTAAGCATCTCTGTAATAAATAATTTTAAAGCATACTTTAAGGAGAAACAATTATTTTTTTGGAACAAAAAACAGGGTTGCATTTAAAATTATCTCGATTTAGCACAGGATTTAGAGCCAATCGAGATATTGAGGGTATGGTAAATTGAAGTAAATTCAGCTCGATCTACCAATTAAATCGAGATATAATACATTATCTCGTTGAACACTTTATCACGATAAAATGTATAGGTCTAAACGCGCCATAAGTTCATTTTTATATCAAGTTTTCTAGGAATAATCTATTGAAAAAATCGATTTCCATACTTTTTATATAATTCTTAAACCCTATTTTTAAAAAAAAAATATTTTTCTGGAATGATCATTTAAATCATTTTTAATTTTTTTTTTAATTTATTTAATTTTTAGTTTACAAAAGGTTTTTTCATTACAAAAAAAATACTTTTTATATTTTTTTTAATTTATTAACATATTTTTAATGTATTAATTAAACATTTTTCGTCAGGGGTTTTTAATGAATTTAATTTGCCAATTGCTGCTATATATATATTAATAATAATAAAAAATATTTAGGGATTTTAGGCCAATTAAATGTTTTAGATAATGAACATAAAAATGACAAGCGATATACTTTAAATGCCAAGGCACGAATATAAATTGATATATAAATCACAAAAGCTAATAAATAAGAAAAATAAAATAAAAAAGAAAAAAATAATAAATACTAATAAAAAAACTCACGAAACCCAAATGCAAAAGTTGTTGTAAATTTATTAACTATTAACAATCATTGCAAATCAATAAATAAATAAAAAAATGCTTACAAAAACTGAAACAAATTTTAAATGAGAAAAACGCGATCTTCCTATCCCAAATGTGTTTTTTTTTGTAGAAAAGAAAAAAAAATTAAAAATAAAAAAAAAAAATAAATTTAAAAAAAAAATCATAAAAATACAAAATTCAAGAAAAAAATAAATTTCGAAAAAGAACACAAAAAAAAAAATCAGGACAATATTTTTTAGAAAAAAAGAAAATGATTTTCTTTTTAAATGGAAAATTACAAAATATATTTAAAATACAGTATGAAACGGATATAAGATATTTGCCTATAAGAAGTAAATATATAAGGAGGGTTTATTGAAACACTTTGCAGTTGACCACGGATATAAGAACATCTTATATAAGAAAAACACAGACATATGAAAATCTTTCATCCATATAAGAAAACTGTTTATTTTAAAAAATACATTCATATATGAAAACTCCTCTTATAAGAACAAATTTCTCAATTTTTTTCGATGTTCTTATATTCGTGGTCCTACTGTGTATTTAATTTCTCACAATAAAAGTTATACAAGAAAAAATCGGATAAAAAATTTATATCTTATATCTGTTAACTACTGTATAAAAAAATATTAAAATAAAATAATAAAAAAGCTTATCTGTTAATACAATGGGAATAAATATATTGAAAAATTAATAATAAATATATTGAAAAAAAAATAATAAATAAATGAAAAAAAATAAATCACAACAAAATCTGTACTATATACCATCTGAAAAAATGTACATCTTTGAATGACAAAAATATGGCTCCAAATAATTCACAAAAAATAGTTAAAAAAAATATAAAAAATAAAATTAAAAATTGTTGAATCATAAATAAAAAAAGATATATTCACATATTAAAATAAAAATTATTAAAATTAAAAAAATAAAAAAATCATATTACGTTGTTACACTTAAACAAATTAAAAAAAAAATAAATTAAAATTCACAAAGCTATATTTTCCAGACCCACAAAAACAAACACACTCGCCCAATGGTCACCCTTTACTAAAATATATTTATGTTGATGTATTTGAAAAAAATAAATAAATAAATAACTAAGAAAGAATATAATTATATATACATATGTGAAAAAAGAGGAAATTCTATATATATAAAAATAAAATTAAATAAAAATAAACTTTTGTCTTGGATTTTTATTCAACATTTTTGAAATAAATATTTGGGGAGTTTATTTTAAGGTCTCCCATTGAATATTCCGAGGTCGTTTCCATCAAAAATGTTATATACCCTCCAGCAAACTTTTGCATTGCCGAATTTGAATCATGCCAATTAATAGATGGCGCTGACGATGGATCATTGCCAAGGTTGTTCATAGCTCGGTTGTACATAGCTCGGTAACGCCTTCAAACGGGAGATTTTAGCTCAGAATATTCTCTTTCCATTCGGGTCATAGGGACTATAGTAACCTATAATCTAAAATTAATACACCGAAGATTAAAAAAAAATTAAAAAAAATTAACATTAGAGTTTGATAAATAAAATTAAATACAAATAAACTTTTGTCTTGGATTTTTATTCAAATATTTAAAATAAATATTTGGGAAGTTTATTGAATATTTCGAGGTTGTTTCCAACAAAAATTTTATATACCCTCCTGCAAACTTTTACATTGCCGAATTTGAATCATGCCAATTAATAGATGGCGCTGACGATGGTCCATTACTAAGGTTGACATGCTCCAAAACCTGGGGGGTTTATTTTAGGGCCTCGTATTGAATATTTTGAGGTCGTTTCCAGCAAAAATTGTATAGATCAGAATACCTGTATATATATCATAGGCCAAGTCGTATTCTCTGCAGATGATCAGAAGTCTAATTTTTACACAAGACCCCTATTAGATAATATATATTTTATATTTATTAAAAAACTAGTTCAAAATATAAAAAAGTTTATTTGACACACAATATATTTCATCCAACATAAATTGATTTCCCTTCCAACTCCTACACCCTTGCCTATTCCTCCTTTTTCGACAGCTCTTCAACAAGCCGTGCACTCTGTGCCTTCAACTGCTTACGATTTGGTATATTATGTGAAATTTTAGCATCTTCCAAGACATCTTCATCATCGGGCAAGGGTTTTGAAACCTCAGCCAACTCTTCCATTTCCATGCTGGCCAAATATTTCTGATGATATTCCTCCGTCAATTGATTCGGATCAAAGGGTATAGATTTACGCGACTTCTGGCTGGGTAATAATTTTTCATAGGCCACCATAAGGGTTTTAAGTTTGCGCTCAGCATTTTGTAAAATTATTTTTGCTTTAAATAGAGAGAGAGAGAGAAAGGGAGAGAGAGAAAGAGGGAGAGAGAGAGAGAGAGAGAGGGAAAATTAGAAAAATAAATAGAGAATTTAATCCCTCTCACCATCTTCTTCGAAGAGTTCGGGTGGCACAGCATACATTGTCAACATTTCATATTTCAGTAAGGGCAACTTCAAATACGGCGTGGGATATTGTATTTTGTGGACACGGGGTGGACGTCCCACATGACGCATAATATCCGATATATTCCAGAGGGCATATCTGCAATGTGAGCCAAAGATTGAATTATTGTTTATGAAGAAAATTTTAAATAACTACATTTGACCTTAGTATAACAAAAACCGCTGCTCGATTTTTCATGTGCATCAAAGTCTGCACCTCTTTGGCATCCTCAAGCTTGATTTTCTCCTCCAGGTCCTTAATGTTCTGGAGACGTCTAAAAAGGCCAGAATTAAATTGGAAGTAAAAACTTAATAGATGTTGACAAGATACAATAGGTATTGACAAGAGTCAATAGGTATTGACAAGAGTCAATAGGTATTGACAAGAGTCAATAGGTATTGACAAGAGTCAATAGGTATTGACAAGAGTCAATAGGTATTGACAAGAGTCAATAGGTATTGACAAGAGTCAATAGGTATTGACAAGAGTCAATAGGTATTGACAAGAGTCAATAGGTATTGACAAGAGTCAATAGGTATTGACAAGAGTCAATAGATATTGACAAGAGTCAATAGGTATTGACAAGAGTCAATAGGTATTGACAAGTGCCAATAGTTATTGACAAGAGTCAATAGGTATTGACAAGAGTCAATAGGTATTGACAAGGATCAATAGGTATTGACAAGAGTCAATAGGCATTGACAAGAGTCAATAGGTATTGACAATAGTCAATAGATATTGACAAGAGTCAATAGATATTGACAAGAGTCAATAGGTATTGACAAGAGTCAATAGATATTGACAAGAGTCAATAGGTATTGATAAGAGTCAATAGATATTGACAAGGGTCAATAGATATTGACCTGAGTCAATAGATATTGACCTGAGTCAGTAGATTGACTTGAGTCTATAATTGACTTGAGTCAATAGATTGACTTGAGTCAATAGATTGACTTGAGTCAATAGATTGACTTGAGTCAATAGATTGACTTGAGTCAATAGATTGACTTGAGTCAATAGATTGACTTGAGTCAATAGATTGACTTGAGTCAATAGATTGACTTGAGTCAATAGATTGACTTGAGTCAATAGATTGATTTGAGTCAATAGATTGATTTGAGTCAATAGATTGACTTGAGTCAATAGATTGACTTGAGTCAATAGATTGACTTGAGTCAATAGATTGACTTGAGTCAATAGATTGACTTGAGTCAATAGATTGACTTGAGTCAATAGATTGACTTGAGTCAATAGATTGACTTGAGTCAATAGATTGACTTGAGTCAATAGATTGACTTGAGTCAATAGATTGACTTGAGTCAATAGATTGACTTGAGTCAATAGATTGACTTGAGTCAATAGATTGACTTGAGTCAATAGATTGACTTGAGTCAATAGATTGACTTGAGTCAATAGATTGACTTGAGTCAATAGATTGACTTGAGTCAATAGATTGACTTGAGTCAATAGATTGACTTGAGTCAATAGATTGACTTGAGTCAATAGATTGACTTGAGTCAATAATTGACTTGAGTCAATAGTCATTGACAAGAGTCTATAATCATTACAAGCGTCAATAGGTATTCACAAGAGTCAATAGGTATTGACAAGAGTCAATAGGTATTGACAGGAGTCAATAGGTATTAACAAGAGTCAATAGGTATTGACGGGAGTCAATAGGTATTGACGGGAGTTAATAGGTATTGACAGGAGTCAATAGGTATTGACAAGAGTCAATAGGAAATGACAAGAGTCAATAGGTAATGACAAGAGTCAATAGGTATTGACAAGAGTCAATTGGTATTGACAAGAGTCAATAGGCATTTACAGGAGTCAATAGGTATTGACAGAAGTCAATAGGTATTGACAGAAGTCAATAGGTATTGACAGAAGTCAATAGGTATTGACAGAAGTCAATAGGTATTGACAGGAGTCAATAGGTATTGACAGGAGTCAAAAGGTATTAAAAAGACTCAATAGTCATTGACAAGAGTCAATAGGCATTCACTAGAGTCAATGGGTATTGACTAGAGTCAATGAAAAATAACTAGTGTCAATAGATTGACTGGAGTCAATAGATTGACTTGAGTCAATATATTGACTTGAGGTAATAGATTGACTAGAGACAACATATGGTCGTGACTCAATACCTTGACTAGAGTCAATGCCATGACAGAAATCAATTAGTAGACTAAGGTCTAAAGTCAAATTCACCTCTCTTCCTCCTCGAAATAATTGTTCAGCAAAATACTTTGCTGTTCCGCTGCCACCTTCTCCTTGAAGGCCAAAAAATCATTTTGCAAGTGGCCCAATTCATTTTGTTTGATTAACTTGAAATTGATTTCAACTTGGGTTTTGATTCTGTGAAATAAGAATCCAACATTAAGTTATTCAAATTTTAATTCTAAAATCTGCAATGACCCCAAATCACCTTGGAAAAATTTCCGTGGCCTTGGAACACAATGTGGCCTCTTTAATTTGTTTTATAACCGCTTCGATTGTTTCCAACTCATGTTGCAGACTCAGCATTGATTTTGTTTCGCGTGTATAATGCTTCGCCATGTTTACCACCAATTCGGGAGGTTTGGGGCCCTTGGCTCCACCAGGACGTGGTTCAGATTCATTAAAACCAGTTAGGCTTTGTAATTTTATTTGGGCGGATTTGCGGGACTTGTCCTCCATTTGCTGAAAATAACTTCTTAAAAAAATATATTAATTTTCAGATCTCCGATTTCTCACCCTATACTCCGTACCCAATTGCTTAAACTTGGCTATGGCTGGTGTACCCAAATACAAAATATGTTTAATAAAATTCGCCTGATCATTGATGTCCTCACACAATGATCTCAAAATCGGCTCATAGAATATACTATCATGTCTTAGCACCTCAATGATTTTCTTATACGTGGCATTGACGGCCTTTATCGCCCTCAACCGGGTATTGGAATTTTCAATATTTTTCATAAATTCACGCATCTGCAGCTCTTCATCGAGAACGAACTCATTTTGATATTTAATACGATTTTCAATTTCACCCTTCTGAATGATTTTCAATTCATAGTCCTGCTTTAATTGCCGTAGACGATGCATTAATCGATCACGTTCCTTGCGCATCACAAATGTCCGTTGATTGATATTGTCGACGACCAGATGAACTGGCATTTTTTCATAGAGACGTTGCATATCCTTGTGATTGATAAGGAAATTGCGAACACGCAGGACATTATCACCGAATAGGACATTTTGTAATTTAGTTCGACCATCTCGGCATTGAATGCGCAAACGACGTGCCGACTTGAGAAGGCCTTTGCGTGATGCTCGATTCTCCAGCCGTTTGAAAATCATGCGTTTGCCTTTTTAAGGAGAGAAAGGGAATTATTTACACTTCTTCATCCTCCTGACTATGCAACTTACTTAGCAAATCCGCCATGCCTTGAAATTCATCAATTAATGCCCCCATCGACCATCGTTCATCAATGACCATGTGTTGCCGTAAAAAAGTCGCCTCGAAAAGACCATGATTGCGTATGGCCCGAGGATGCACGGGACGTGGTGCTAATATGTCGGTGGTTTTAATGGCTTTCATCCTTTTCGGGTTTTATTTTCTAAGGTTATTTGTCAGAAGTTTTTTTTATAAAGTTACTTCAAAAAAATTAATTGAAAAAAAAAAATTGACAAGAGCCTCAAATTCAGCAGCCTTTGCAGCAGCTCTGGATAGGGTAACCATATGATGAAAATAGGGTTCTACAAATTCCGTCCGTTGTGATTACTTGAGTCAATAATAATTGGCTTTATAGGAATCAATAATGATTGAAGAGAGTCAATAGCGACTCTATTGGAGTCAATTGTGCAGAGTCAATAGTATTTCCTATAGTCATACTAGTTTATGTTGATTATAGACTAGAGTCAATTGTCATTTGATTAGAGTTAATTGTCATCTGACTAGAGTCAATTGTCATTTGAGTAGAGTCAATTGTCATTTGACTAGAGACAATTGTCATTTGACTAGAGTCAATTGTTATTGACTAGACTAGAGTCAATTGTCATTTGACTAGAGTCAATTGTCATTGACATGAGTCAATTGTCATTTGACTAGAGTCAATTGTCATTGACTAGAGTCAATTGTCATTTGACTAGAGTCAATTGTCATTGACTAGAGTCAATTGTCATTGACTAGTGTTAATTGTCATTGACTAGTGTCAATTGTCATTGACTAGAGTCAATCGTCAGTGACAAGAGTCAATTGTCATATGACTAGAGTCATTTCTCATTTGACTAGAGTCAATTGTCATTTGACTAGAGTCAATTGTTATTGACTAGAGTCAATTGTCATTGACTAGAGTCAATTGTCATTGACTAGAGTCAATTGTCATTTGACTAGAGTCAATTGTCATTTGACTAGAGTCAATTGTCATTTGACTAGAGTCAATTGTCATTTGACTAGAGTCAATTGTCATTTGACTAGAGTCAATTGTCATTTGACTAGAGTCAATACACATTGAAAAGGGTCAATCGACATTGACTAGAATCAATTGTCATTGTCTAGGGTCAATTGTCATTGTCTAATGTCAATTGTCATTTGACTAGAGTCAGTTGTCATATAACTAGAGTCAATTGTCATTTGACTAGAGTCAATTGTCATTGAGTAGAGTCAATTGTCATTGGCAAGAGTCAATTATCATTGACTAGAGTCAAAAGGTATTGATAAGAGCCAATAGGTCAATTGACAGGAGTCAAAAGGTATTGATACGAGTTAATTGGTCTGGACAAGAGTCAATTGTCACTGACTAGCGTTAATCGTTACGCCTTTAAACCTGAATATAGGCTTGAAAATATTATTTTTTTCAGGGCAGGGTCTAGGCTTGAAAATATTCTTTATAAATCCTCGCCTTCTGGACATAGCGTAGCCGTCGAAATATTCTTTAAAAATCAAGTCTGCAGGACAGAGTCTAGCCTTCAAAATATATATTATAAACCCTCACCTTCAGGACAGAGTCGAGGCTTGAAAATATTTTTTAAAAAACATCGCCTTCAGGACAGAGCCTAGCCTTCGAAATATTCTTTAAAAATCCTCGTCTCCTGGACAGAGTCTAGCCTTCGAAATATTCTTTAAAAATCAAGTCTTCAGAACAGAGTCGAGGCTTAAAAATATTTAAAAAAACTCACCGATTGGAGGCTTGAAAATATCTTTTAAAAAAACTCACCTTCAGGACAGAGTCGAGGCTTGAAAATATTCTTTAAAAATCCACGACTTTGGAACTGAGTCTAGGCTTTAAAATATTTCGTAAAAATCCACGCCTTCGTTGCAGGGTGAATACGATTAAAAAATTTCAGCATGAGAACCCACCTTTTGTTTTTTCTCACAATTTCCGAACTTCTTTGACAATTTCTACGAAAATTTTTCAGTTTTCGATAAAAAATTGGAGCAAATGTTAGCTTCTCTTTACATTTCAAGATTTTTTAAATAAAAAAATCCTTAAAATTTATTCCACAAATCGAATGTAATTTTGGATAAACTGATAAGAAACTGAAGAAGAAAAAAATCCAAAATTGATCTAAAAACCCCAACCGCAAGGAAACCCAAAATGTTTAATAAATCTAAAGATTCCCAACAAAGGGTACATCCTCGAGCTATACGTCATCATGGTCTACTCGGGTCGGGATTTGTACAACAGCATATGGTGTGTGATGATAAGTGGTCGACAAAGGATTTAAGGGATGAGTTTAAGGCTATGGCAGGATGTTTGGGTAAGGTTAACATATTTTTGAATACAATTACCTTATTTTTGACCTTCTCCATAAAAGCACCATGTCTTCAAGACAATTGAGAAACACCACCAACTGCAGCATATTGCCAAAAATGTACAACATCTCCGAAAGCAATGTCGCCAGGGACGCCAGGAATTACTGGCCATAGAAAAGCTAAAAAATCGCAATATAATAAGAAACCTCTTGCAGGATAATAAAGAGCAGGAATGCCTATATCAGGATATGCCGGTGCATCAGGTGGTGGAGAACATCGATCAAAGGACATTTGTGCTGCGCAAGGAACAGGATCGTTTGAGGGATAGGAAAAATAAATTGGAAAAGCAATTGAAGGAGTTGAAGGTGGGGATTTAAAATAATATTTATAAAAGTTATATTTAAGGTCCATAATATTCCTTTCCAGCTCAAAGCCTCCCATCTAGAAGATCGCATAAAATTCCAAAATATCTTCGAATTGCAAGAGGAGAAATTGGCCAAGGAGTGCGAAAAGAAATTATCGAATAGTCAAATACGTCTGAAAGCCATAAAGACAATTAACACCACCTATCGGAAAGTTCTGCAGGTTCTTCGACATGATGAAATGTTCTATGATCCAATACTCCAGTCATTGTGCGATGACATCAATGATCAGAGAATGTTTATAGAACATATTTTGGATGTGGGAAAACCTGCATTGGAAAAGCTGAAGTATTTGACAGATTATTCGAAGGTAATGTCAATGTAGAATAACAGAGTACTGTTCTGAATTTGTATTTTTTTTTTCATTTTAGGAATATAATGACAAATTGCGCTGGGAGACCCAATCGTTGATACACGATATTGCCAATAAACATAAACTTCTAAATCGAAGTAAACCAAATCCGGTGGAACGCAGTAAACAGGATGAGGCCACTCTCTTGGTTGAGGCACGTGCAAGATATGCCCGCACTACATATAGCATGAGTAAATTGGAAAATGAACTCAATGCGGTGTCGGAGGTCATCAATGGCATAAAGTTTGCCACATTGTGCTCAACGGCAACAGAGATTTTTCCGAGGTAAGGAAACATTTTACGTCTTTAGAACTGACAAAGGGCTTGGAAATAGTTAACAAATCCAAGCCTTTGGACCTGGCCAAGGGTTGAGTCTAGGCATCGAAATATACTTTAAAAATTCACTCCTTTGGAGCTGGGTCTCCTTTTAGACTACGAAATATTCTTTAAAAATCCTCGCCTTCTGGACTTGAAAAAATTCTTTAAAAATCCTCGTCTTCAATGCAGAGTCTATCCTTCGAAATATTCTTTAAACATCAACGTCTTCAGGACAGAGACTAGACTTCGGAATATTCTTAAAAAAAAAGTCGAGGCTTGGAAATATTCTTTAAAAATCCTCGCCTTCAGGGCAGAGTCTAGGCTTCGAAATATTCGTTAAAAATCCTCGCCTTCAGGGCAGAGTCAAGGCTTCGAAATATTCGTTAAAAATCCACGCCTTTGTAGCTGAGTCTAGGCTTTAAAATATTCGTTAAAAATTCTCGCCTTCAGGACAGAGTCTAGCCTTCGAAATATTCTTTAAAAAGCCCCACCTTCAGGACAGAGTCTAGGCTTTAAAATATTCGTTAAAAATTCTCGCCTTCAGGACAGAGTCTAGCCTTCGAAATATTCTTTAAAAAGCCCCACCTTCAGGACAGAGTCTAAGCATGAAAATATTCTTTAAAACCCTCACCTTCAGGACAGAGTTTAAGCTTAAAAATATTCTTTAAAAATCCACGCCTTTGGACCTGAGTCTAGGCTTAAAAATATTCTTTAAAAATCCACGCTTTTGGACCTGAGTCTAGGCTTAAAAATATTCTTTAAAAATCCACGCCTTTGGACCTGAGTCTAGGCTTGAAAATATTCTTTAAAAATCCACGCCTTTGGACCTGAGTCTAGGCTTAAAAATATTCTTTAAAAATTAAAGTCTTCAGGACAGAGTATAGCCTTCGAAATATTCTTTAAAAATCCACGCATTTGTAGCTGAGTCTAGGCTTGAAAATATTTTTTAAAAATCCATGCCTTTAGAGCTGAGTATGGGCTTGAAAATATTCTTTAAAAATTAAAGTCTTCAGGACAGAGTCTAGCCTTCGAAATATTATTTAAAAATCCACGCCTTTAGAGCTGAGTCTAGGCTTCGAAATATTCTTTAAAAATCCATGCCTTTGGACCTCAGTCTAGGCTTAAATCTATTCTTTAAAAATCCACGCCTTTGGACCTGAGTCTAGGCTTAAATCTATTCTTTAAAAATCCATGCCTTTAGACCTGAGTGTAGGCTTAAATCTATTCTTTAAAAATCCACGCCTTTGGACCTGAGTCTAGGCTTAAAACTATTCTTTAAAAATCCACGCCTTTGGACCTGAGTCTAGGCTTAAATCTATTCTTTAAAAATCCAGGCCTTTAGAGCTGAGTCTAGGCTTGAAAATATTCCTTAAAAATCCACGCTTTGGACCTGAGTCTAGGCTTAAATCTATTCTTTAAAAATCCATGCCTTTAGACCTGAGTCTAGGCTTAAATCTATTCTTTAAAAATCCACGCCTTTGGACCTGAGTCTAGGCTTAAAACTATTCTTTAAAAATCCACGCCTTTGGACCTGAGTCTAGGCTTCGAAATATTCTTTAAAAATCCATGCCTTTGGACCTCAGTCTAGGCTTAAAACTATTCTTTAAAATTCCACGCCTTTGGACCTGAGTCTAGGCTTAAATCTATTCTTTAAAAATCCACGCCTTTGGACCTGAGTCTAGGCTTAAAACTATTCTTTAAAAATCCACGCCTTTGGACCTGAGTCTAGGCTTAAAACTATTCTTTAAAAATCCACGCCTTTGGACCTGAGTCCAGGCTTGAAAATATTTTTTTAAAAATTAAAGTATTCAGGACAGAGTCTAGCCTTCGAAATATTATTTAAAAATCCGCGCCTTTAGAGCTGAGTCTAGGCTTGAAAATATTCCTTAAACATCCACGCTTTTGGAACTGAGTCTATGCTTGAAAATATTCTTAAAAAATCCACGCCTCAGGGCAGGGCCTTGAAAATAGTCATTAAAAATCCCACACTTTGGAACTGAGTCTAGCCTTGAAAATATTCTTTAAAAATCCACGCTTTTTATGCCGATTTCTTATCTTTTTCAGAATCAAAGCCCAAATTGAACACAACTATAAATTGAAGAAGGAAATTGTTTGCGATTCCCTTTGCCAGGCCACACTGGAGACCAAGGAGAAATACTGTGAGGTCCTGCAAGAGGTTATTAAAAATAATCTATCCCAGGCAGAAATTGAGTAAGTGGATTCAAATATCCAATATGCGATTTTAAACTATTAATGTTTTTTTCAAAGTCGCCTTGATAAAATTAAGGATCTGAATGACAAAATTAAACAGCAGGATGCAAAGGAAAAGGATACTGTTCAAGCCATGAAACGGAATAATGATTTGTTTGTGGTGTTGCGGTAAGGGTCCACCCTTTATTGAAAATTACATTCAAATAATTTGTATTACTTTAATTTCCAGTATTTTCCTGTGGAACATCTTTGACATGCTGCGACATGTCTACAAGACATCACGTCCAAAACGAATTCAGTATCCAAATTCCTATTTGAAGCTACCTCTGTTAAAATTTGAAACAATGACTTCATGTCCTCCGGAAAATATGGAAGAAGATAGTAAGTCTTGAATACATTCATCAAAGAAATCCAAGCTTATAGAACTGTTTAAGACCTCGATTTTTTTAACGAAGCTTATAGATCAGTCTCTGAAAATATTTTTTTAATAATCTTTATAGACCTCAAATTTAGGACTAGAAAATATTCGTAAAAATCCATCTTTTTAGGCCTGCTGTAGGCCTAGATATCTTCTAAAAAAACAAAACTTTTAAGGTCTCGAAAATATTTTTAAAAAATCCATACTTACCCGCCTACAACGATCTGAATGATCCTCCGATCATTCAGTTAATTCTATTATCATTACATTTTCTTATTTCTCTCTCCCTGCAGTTAATGAACTCTTCCATATGGTTCGCCAAAAATTAACGCACCTTATGAACGCCTTTAATCAATTATCCAGCGGCTCAACTAAGCGACGTTTTTCTATCCCCAAAAATAATTTGGAAACACATCGTGAAGTGTATATGGATGATATGGTGACAATGTTTCAACAATATGACGAGGGTGCAGAGGGAGATTTCATTCGAAATGCTAAGGTCAAAGATGCCAGTGATGATGAGATCAAGGAGACGGAACGTAATCCCAAGGAAATTTATAGCCGCCAACAAATGAAAGCAAAAAGTCTACATTTGGTCGAAGAAAATCTTAAAAAGGACTAAATAAAGGATATCAAAATGAGAAGAGATTTGAAAAGTGCTGAAAAGAAAATAAAAATGTTAAAAGGTTTAAAAAAATTATTTAAAAAATATCAAAATAAAAATTAAAAAAAATTGCTCAAAAAGTCCCTTGAAAATATTCTTTAAATATCCACGCCTTCAGGGCAGAGTATAGTCTTGCAAATATTCTTTAAAAATCCATGCCTTCAGGGCAGAGTCTAGTCTTGCAAATATTCATTAAAAATCTATGCATATAGAGCGGATGATAGACTTGAAAATATTCTTTAAAAATCCACGCCTTCAGGGCAGAGTCTAGATTTGGAAATTTTCTTTAAAAATCCACGCCTTCAGGGCAGAGTCTAGATTTGGAAATTTTCTTTAAAAATCCACGCCTTCAGGGCAGAGTCTAGATTTGGAAATTTTCCTTAAATATCCACGCCTTCAGGGCAGAGTCTAGCCTTGGAAATTTTCTTTAAATATCCACGCCTTCAGGGTAGAAATTTCTTTCAAAATCCAAGCCTTCTGGGGAGAGTCTAGCCTTGGAAATTTTCTTTAAAAATTCACGCCTTCGGGGCTGAGTCTGGCCTTGGAAATATTATTGAAAAATCAACGCTTTCAGACAGAGTCTACCCTTGGAAATTTTCTTTAAAAATTCACGGCTTCAGAGCAGAGTCTAACCTCTTTAAAAATCCACGCTTTCAGACAGAGTCTAGCCTTGGAAATTTTCTTTAAAAATTCACTCCTTCAGAGCAGAGTCTAACCTCTTTAAAACTAGTCTTTAAAAATCCACGACTATGGAGCTGGCCAAGGTCTTGGAAATATTCTTTAAAAATCCACGCCTTCAGAGCAGAGTCTAACCTCTTTAAAACTAGTCTTTAAAAATCCACGACTATGGAGCTGGCCAAGGTCTTGGAAATATTCTTTAAAAATCCACGCCTATGGAGCTGGCCAAGGTCTTGGAAATATTCCTTAAAAAAAACACGCCTATGGAGCTGGCCAAGGACTTGGAAATATTCTTTAAAAAATCCACGCCTATGGAGCTGGCCAAGGACTTGGAAATATTCTTTAAAAATCCACGCCTATGGAGCTGGCCAAGGACTTGGAAATTTTCTTTAAAAATCCACGTCTATGGAGCTGACCAAGGACTTGGAAATATTCTTTAAAAATAAAGCCTATGGAGCTGGCCAAGGACTTGGGAATATTCATTAAAAATCCACGCCTATGGAGCTGGCCAAGGACTTGGAAATATTCTTTAAAAATCCACGCATATGGAGCTGGCCAAGGACTTGGAAATATTCTTTAAAAATCCACGCCTATGGAGCTGGCCAAGGACTTGGAAATATTCCTTAAAAATCCAAGCCTATGGAGCTGGCCAAGGACTTGGGAATATTCTTTAAAAATCCAAGCCTATGGTGGTGGTCAAGGACTTGGAAATATTTATTAAAAATCTACGCTTATGGAGCTGGCCAAGGACTTGGAAATATTCTTTAAAAATCCACGTCTGTGGAGCTAGCCAAGGACTTGGAAATATTCCTTAAAAATCCACGCCTATGGAGCTGGCCAATGACTTGGAAATATTCTCTAAAAATCCACGCCTAAAGAGCTGAACAAGGCCTTGGTCAAGGTCTTGGAAATTTTCTTTAAGAATCAACGCCTATGGAGCTGGCCACGATCTTGGACACATTCTTAAAAAATCCACGCCTATAAACCTGGTCAAGGTCTTCTATAAAACTGCGCTCCTTTGGAACTAAGTCTAGGCTTGGAAATATTTTATAAAAATCTCCAAAAAATGCATTCCTATAAAAATAAATGGACCTAAATATTTACTTGAAAAGAATACACAATTAAAGCCACTGATATTCAATATTCTACCAGTTGCCAATTTTCCAGCATGATAGCTGGAAGCACTAACCAGCTGGTGATTTTCTTAATTACAGAGGCTCGCACACACCGAGCTATTATTCTTGTGTTTATTTGTAAAACAAAAGAGTGTAAGCATGATAATGTTGCCACCCCAATCATGTGAATGGATGGACTAACCACTGACTGCAGGGAACAGAAGTAAATGAATGAAGCTGGGGCAATCCGACAAGCTCAGAATCGCATCAGCATCTCAAACGTCTTGTTTTGTTGGTGTTGAATAAGCAATCAAGAGATTGCATAGCTACCATAGGGGCTAAGGCAAATACGGAGAAGATGTTAAATTTACCCTTAGGCAATGTGTAAGAGAACGTTTTGTTTTATTTTAGGTGGGTGGCTGGGTTGATGGTTAACCAACACACACACACAAATGTGCAACTACTTAACAGTTTTTGCAAAATTCTTAATGTAGAAATAAACGCCTTTAAGGGGACAGCCAGTTAGGCAGCCAGCTAAAGCAATAAAATCAATTGCCTGTCTTTTGTTGAAGACCGACGTTTGTTTCTTAAGTCTTTTGTTTGCAATTCCCTTTGGCTTGGGATATTCTTATGCAAAAACCATGTCTTGTGATTTTTTCAAATTGTTATTGCTTAATAATTATATTGAAACATATAATTTTGGCAAATACCGTTAAATCGATTATGGATGGGAAGTAGAAGCAGAAGATGGAGAAAAAATTGAAGTTTTGTTTTTTGTTAAAAAATAATTATTTTTTTAATTCTATATTTCTATGAAGTATAATCGGAAAATTTTAAAGAATATTTTCAAGGCCTTGGCCAGCTAGTAAGGCGTGGATATTTAAGGTCTTCAAGGCCTCAACACAGTTACAAAGGCGTGGATTTTTAAAGAATATTTTCTAGCCTAGACTCAGCTTCAAAGTGGTGGATTTTTTAGAGAATATTTTCAAGCCTAGACTCAAACCTAGACTCAGCTCCAAAGGCATGAATTTTTAAAGAATATTTTCAAGCCTAGACTCAGCTCCAAAGGCGTGGATTTTTAAAGAATATTTTCAAGCCTAGACTCAGCTCCAAAGGCGTGGATTTTTAAAGAATATTTTCAAACCTAGACTCAGCTCCAAAGGCGTGGATTTTTAAAGAATATCTTAAAGCCTAGACTCAGCTGCAAATGCGTGGATTTTAAAAGAATACTTTCAAGCCTAGACTCAGCTCCAAAGCGGTGGATTTTTTAAAGAATATTTTCAAGCCTAGACTCAGCTCCAAAGCGGTGGATTTTTTAATGACTATTTTCAAGCCTAGACTCAGCTCCAAAGCCGTGGATTTTTAATGACTATTTTCAAGCCTAGACACAGCTTCAAAGGCGTAGATTTGTAAAGAATAATTTAAGCCTCAACACAGTTTCAAAGGCGTGGATTTTTAAAGAATATTTTCAAGCCTAGATTCAGCTCCAAAAGCGTGGATTTTTAAAGAATATTTTCAAGCTTAGACTCAGCTCCAAAAGCGTGGATTTTTAAAGAATATTTTCAAGCCTAGACTCAGCTCCAAAAGCGTGGATTTTTAAAGAATATTTTCAAGCCTAGACCCAGCTCCAAAAGCGTGGATTTTTAAAGAATATTTCTAAGCCTCAACAGAGTTCCAATGGCGTGGATTTTTAAAGAATATTTTCAAGCCTAGACTCAGCTTCGAAGGCGTGGATTTTTAAATAATATTTTCAAGCCTAGACTCAGCTTCAAAGGCGTGGATTTTTAAAGAATATTTCAAGCCTAAACTCGACCTCAAAAGTCGTGGATTTTTAAATATTATTTCTAAGCCTAGACTCAGCTCCAAAGGCGTGGATTTTTAAGGAATATTTTCAAGCCTAGACTCAGCTTCAAAGGCGTGGATTTAAAAAATAATATCCTTACTTTCCTTGACTCTTCCCACAATTTCTAAACCCCTACATCACATATATTTTTTTCCTGATTGTCGTGGACTAATAGAACCGTGGGGAGCTTCATATCTAAGATAACAGTAACATTACACGAACATCATTGTTCATGTAAGAGACTTTTTTGTATACAAAAAAAAGTTTTGTGGTTTTTATTTTATGGGTCAATATATGCCAATTTTTTTATAAAAAAGATTTCGGCATAAAATTTAAATAAATTTCTGTACGCACCTTAGGTTGCCTAATTTAAAATTGTGCGTTGTTTTGTTACATTTCTGTTGTAACACCCAGCCGTAGGCATTTCCGTGCTTTGGGCATTATTCATTACAGAAATTCCCACATTTGCTCTTTTTTCATGCAATTCAAATAGATTTGCCACTTTTCTGAATTAAATTTAGGTTTCTAGTGTAATTTTAATGTTGTTTTTCGAAATGCTTTTGTTTTTGTAAATATAACACAGAGGTCTAATGTTTGAGTACCTATCAGCGGTATCTCTATACATTTGAATTTTTAAAGAATATTTTCCAAGCTGAAACACAGTTTTTTTTTAAATGAATTCCAAGTCCATCTTCGATGATTAAAAAACATATTTTCCAGGTCTTGGTAGGGCTTATAGGCGTGAATTTTTAAAGAAAATTTCCAAGGCCTCAACCAGCTTTTTAGTCGTGGATTTTTAAAGAATATTTTCATGACCTCGACCTGTTCTTAAGGTGTGGATTTTTAAAGAATATTGCCATGGCATCGACCTACTTTTTAAGCGTGTATTTTTAAAGAATATTTCCAAGACCTTCACCAACTCTTTAGGCATGGAAATTCATAGAATATTTCCAAAGCATCAACCAGCTCTTTATTCGTGGATTTCGAGTGGATAACATTTTCAAGGCCTTGTCAAGGCTTATAGGCGTGGATTTTTTAAGAATATTTCCAAGACCTCGACCAGCTCCTTAAGCGTGGATTTTTAAAGAATATTTCCAAGACCACGACCAGCTTCTTAGGCGTGGATTTTTAAAGAAAATTTCCAAGACCTCGACCAGCTCCTTAGGCGTGGATTTTTAAAGAAAATTTCCAAGACCTCGACCAGCTCCTTAGGCGTGGATTTTTAAAGAAAATTTCCAAGACCTCGACCAGCTCCTTAGGCGTGGATTTTTAAAGAAAATTTCCAAGACCTCGACCAGCTCCTTAGGCGTGGATTTTTAAAG